GTGAGCTATCGTTGTGGTGCTGTGGGGTGAGGGAGGGAGCTATCAGGTTGCTGTGGGGTGAGGGAGGGAGGGAGGTTTATTGTTGTTGTGCTGGGGTGAGGGAGGAGGGAGTGAGCTATCGTTGTGGTGCTGTGGAATGCGGGAGGAGTGAGCTATCGTTTTGTGGTGATGTGGATTGAGGGACGGAGAGAGTGAGCTATCATGTTGTGGTGCTAGGGGTGAGGGAAGGGAGGAGCTATCGTTTGGGTGCTGTGGGGTGAGGGAAGGGAAAGAGCTGTCATGTTGTGGTGCTGTGGGGTGAGGAAGGGAGTGAGCTATCGTGTTGTGGTGCTGTGGGATGAGGGAGGGAGGAGCTATCGTTTTGGTGCTATGGGGTGAGGGAGGAGTGAGCTATCGTGTTGTAGGCCAGGATAGGGAGGAGTGAGCTATCTTGTTGTGCTGTGGGTGTGGGAGGGAGTGAGTGACTATCGTGTTGTACTGTGGGTGAGGGAGGGGAGGAGCTATTGCGTTGTGGTGCTGTGAGGTGGGGGAATGAGGGAGTGAGCTATCGTGTTGTGGTGGTGTGGGGTGAGGGAGGGAGTTTGCTATCGTGTTGTGGTGCTGTGGGGTCGGGGAGGAGTTTGCTATCGTGTTGTGGTGCTGTGGGGGAGGGGAGGGAGTTTACATCGTGTTTGGTGCTGTGGGGAGAGGAAGGGAGAGAGCTATCTAGTTGTGGTACTGTGGATGAGGAGGAGGAGCTATCATGTTTAGGTGCCATGGGGTGAGGGAGGGTGTGAGGAGCATCGTGTTTTCGTGCTGTGGGGTTGGGGAGAAGTGGGAGTGAGCTATCGTGTTGTGGTGCGTGGGGTGTTGGAGGGAGTGAGTGAGCTATCGTGTTGTGAGCTAGGGGTGAGGGAGGGAGTGAGTGAGCTATCGTGTTGTGTGCTGTAGGGTGAGGGAGGGTGAGTGAGCTATCGTGTTGTGGTGCTGTGGGGTGAGGGAGGGAGTGAGCTATCGTGTTGTGGTGCTGTGGGGTGGGGGAAGTGAGAGTGAGCTATCGTTGTGGTGCTGTGGGGGAGGGAGGGAGGAGTGAGCTATCGTGTTGTGGTGCTGTGGGGTGAGGGAGGGAGTTACATCGTGTTGTGGTGCTGTGGGGTGGGGAGTGAGGAGTGAGCTATCGTTATGTGGTGCTGTGGGGTGGGGGTGAAGGAGTGAGCTATCGTGTTGTGGTGCTGTTGGGTGAGGGACTGAGTGAGCTATCTAGTTGTGGTGCTGTGGGGTGAGGGAGGAAGGAGCTATCATGTTGGGGACTGTGGGGAGAGGAAGGAGAGAGCTATCTAGTTGTGGTACTGTGGGATGAGGAGGAGGAGCTATCATGTTTTAGTGGGGTGAGGGAGGTGTGAGTGAGCTATCGTGTTTCGTGCTGTGGGGTTGGGGAATAAGGAGTGAGCTATCGTGTTGTGGTGGGGTGTTGAGGGGAGGAGTGAGCTATCGTGTTGTGGTGCTGTGGGGTTGGGGAGGAGGGAGTGAGCTATCGTGTTGTGGTGCTGTGGGGTTGGGGAGTAAGGGAGTGAGCTGTCGTATTTGGTGCTAGGGGTGTTGGAGTGGAGTGAGTGAGCTATCTTGTTGTGGTGCTGTGGGTGAGGGAGGAGGAGTGAGCTATCGTGTTGGGGTGCTGTGGGGTGGGGGAGTGAGTGGAGCTATCGTGTTGTGGTGCTGTGGGGTGGGGGAGGAGCTATCGTTTTGGTGCTGTGGGGTGGGAGGTGAGTGAGTGAGCTATCTTGTTGTGGTGCTTGGGGTGAGGGATTGAGTGAGCTATCGTGTTGTGGTGCTGTGGGGTGAGGGAGTGAGGAGTGAGCTATCGTGTTGAGGTGCTGTGGGGTGGGGGGAGTGAGGAGGAGCTATCGTGTTGTGGTGCTGTGGGGTGGGGGGAGTGAGGGAGGAGCTATCGTGTTGTGGTGCCGTGGGGTGGGGAGGAGGGAGTGAGCTATCGTGTTGTGGTGCTGTGTGGGGGAGGAGGGAGTGAGCTATCGTGGTGCTGGGGTGGGGGAGTGAGGGAGTGAGCTATCGTGTTGTGGTGCTGTGGGGTGGGGGGGAGGAGGGAGGAGCTATCGTGTTGTGGTGCCGTGGGGTGGGGAGTGAGGGGAGGAGCTATCGTGTTGTGGTGCTGTGGGGTGGGGAGGAGGGAGGAGCTATCGTGTTGGGGCGGTGGGGTGGGGAGAGGGAGTGAGCTATCGTGTTGTGGTGCTGTGGGGTGGGGGGGAGGAGGGGAGTGAGCTATCGTGTTGGTGCCGTGGGGTGGGGGAGGAGGGAGGAGCTATCTTGTTGTGGTGCTGTGGGGTGGGGAGTGAGGGAGTGAGCTATCTGTTGTGGTGCTGTGGGTGGGAGGAGGGTGAGCTATCTTGTTGTGGTGCTGTGGGGTGGGGAGGAGGAGTGGCTATCTTGTTGTGGTGCTGTGGGGTGGGGGGAGTGAGGGAGTGAGCTATCTTGTTGTGGTGCCGTGGGGTGGGGGGAGGAGGGAGTGAGCTATCTTGTTGTGGTGCTGTGGGGTGGGGGAGGAGGGAGGAGCTATCGTGTTGTGGTGCTGTGGGGTGGGGGAGGAGGGAGTGAGCTATCGTGTTGTGGTGCCGGGGTGGGGGGAGTGAGGGAGTGAGCTATCTTGTTGTGGTGCTGTGGGGTGGGGGAGGGGGAGTGAGCTACTGTTGGTGCTGTGGGGTGGGGGAGGAGGGAGGAGCTATCGCTAGGTGCCGGGGTGGGGGAGTGAGGGAGTGAGCTATCTTGTTGTGGTGCTGTGGGGTGGGGGAGGAGGGAGTGAGCTATCTTGTTGTGGTGCTGTGGGGTGGGGGAGAGGAGTGAGCTATCTTGTTGTGGTGCTGTGGGGTGGGGGAGGAGGAGTGAGCTATCTTGTTGTGGTGCCGTGGGGTGGGGGAGGAGGGAGGAGCTATCTTGTTGTGGTGCCCTGGGGTGGGGGAGGAGAGAGCTATCTTGTTGTGGTGCCGTGGGGTGGGGGAGGGAGGGAGTGAGCTATCTTGTTGTGGTGCCGTGGGGTGGGGGAGGAGGGAGGAGCTATCTTGTTGTGGTGCTGTGGGGTGGGGAGTGAGGGAGTGAGCTATCTGTTGTGGTGCCGTGGGGTGGGGAGGAGGGAGTGAGCTATCTTGTTGTGGAGGTGGGGTGGGGGGGAGGAGGGAGTGAGCTATCTTGTTGTGGTGCTGTGGGGTGGGGGAGTGAGGGGAGGAGCTATGTTGTTGTGGTGCTGTGGGGTGGGGGGAGTGAGGGAGTGAGCTATCTTGTTGTGGTGCTGTGTTAGGGAGGAGGGAGTGAGCTATCTTGTTGTGGTGCCGTGGGTGGGGGAGTGAGGAGTGAGCTATCTTGTTGTGGTGCCCTGGGGTGGGGAGTGAGGGAGGAGCTATCTTGTTTGGTGCCGTGGGGTGGGGAGTGAGGGAGGAGCTATCTTTGTTGTGGTGCTGTGGGTGGGGGGAGGAGGGAGTGAGCTATCTTGTTGTGGTGTGTGTGGAGTGAGGAGGAGCTATCTTGTTGTGGTGCTGTGGGGTGGGGGAGTGAGGGGAGTGAGCTATCTTGTTGTGGTGCTGTGGGGTGGGGGAGTGAGGGTGAGCTATCTTGTTGTGGTGCCCTTGGGGGAGTGGGGAGGGGAGTGAGCTATCTGTTGTGGTGCTGGGGTGGGGGGAGGAGGGAGTGAGCTATCTTGTTGTGGTGCTGTGGGGTGGGGGAGGAGGGAGGAGCTATCTTGTTGTGGTGCTGTGGGTGGGGAGGAGGGAGTGAGCTATCTTGTTGTGGTGCTGTGGGGTGGGGGGAGTGAGGAGTGAGCTATCTTGTTGTGGTGCCCTGGGGTGGGGGGAGGAGGTAGGAGCTATCTTGTTGTGGTGCCGTGGGGTGGGGGAGGAGGGGAGTGAGCTATCTTGTTAGGTGGGTGGGGGAGGAGGGAGGAGCTATCTTGTTGTGGTGCTGTGGGGTGGGGGAGGAGGGGAGGAGCTATCTTGTTGTGGTGCCGTGGGGTGGGGGGAGGAGGGGAGGAGCTATCTTGTTGTGGTGCTGTGGGTGGGGGGAGTGAGGGGAGGAGCTATCTTGTTGTGGTGCTGTGGGGTGGGGAGGAGGGAGTGAGCTATGTTGTTGTGGTGCTGTGGGTGGGGGGAGGAGGGGAGTGAGCTATCTGTTGTGGTGCTGTGGGGTGGGGAGTGAGGGAGGAGCTATCTGTTGTGGTGCCGTGGGTGGGGGAGGAGGGAGTGAGCTATCTGTTGTGGTGCCCTGGGTGGGGGAGTGAGGGAGTGAGCTATCTTGTTGTGGTGCCGTGGGGTGGGGGGAGGAGGGAGTGAGCTATCTTGTTGTGGTGCCGTGGTGGGGGAGTGAGGGAGTGAGCTATCTTGTTGTGGTGCCGTGGGGTGGGGGAGTGAGGGAGGAGCTATCTTGTTGTGGTGCCGTGGGGTGGGGGAGGAGGGAGGAGCTATCTTGTTGTGCATAGTTTGTATAGTTTACTATATTACTGACTTGTTTATATATCTATTTATTTATTTATTCATTAATGTGTGTGTGTGTGTGTGTGTGTGTGTGTGTGTGTGTGTGTGTGTGTGTGTGTGTGTGTGTGTGTGTGTTGTGAGAAATCATATGAAATGGAGAAAGACAACAGTGAAAAACCCGATTTATTTCCAAATCTTTATTTGTAGAATATATATCACGATAACAGACTAAATATTAAAAAAATAAACCAGAATTTTGACGTCTCTCTCTCTCTCTTACATAACTAGATACGTTTGTCTCTACTATCCTGTTAGGAAAAAAAATATTCTTTGAATCACTAATTATGTTGCCTCAGGACAGCTGCCCCTGGCCTGAGGGATGTGGAGGGCGAGGGAGGTTGCCTTTAACCTTTTCGCCAATGGTCGCTTTTAGCCGTGGGGATCAAGGAAGGTTGGGGAGGAGGAGGATTAGGCAGCGACTCTTCTGCACTTTGCCTTGCACAGGATGTAAGGTGCCCATAAACTGGCTTCCTTGATGGGCAAATCTGAAGAAAAAAAAATAGGCAGCGAGAAATGGGGGTGGAGAGTTGACGTAGGGGGAGTCAGATGGGTATAAATGGAAGAGGATGAGGAGGAGGCAGAAGGATGTGCGGGAAGGGGAGGAGGCAGGGAGGGTCACTGAGGGTGTGGTCGTAGATGGAGGTGTTGTAATAGAAGACTTGTCTAATTACCTTCTTGGCTAAAACTTCCTACGTTACATTTTCCCTGACAGAGGACGCCAGACCGCATCAGCCGGGTTTTGTAGGCGTCCTCTTAAAGGTTCATACGACCATTTTCTTCTGGGTATGTGGGAAGGCATTTACTTGACTCATTTCAGCTGAAACACAAGATGAAAGTCAAAATACCATCAAAGCTATACTTGCACTCTGCTGTAATTCGAGACACTCTTTTCTCCTGAGTTATTAGGAAAAGGGGTGCAAGAATCTTTCAGAATCTGGGTCCTGGACTGTAAAATATAATTAAATATTTAGATGCATTGTCTCGTATGTACCAGGAGGGAAATGCTAATCTACGATCCTTGGAGATTCGGGGACGTTACTACAGGCTGAGTGACTCACGAGACAACGCCCTTAGCGAGTATCAGGAGCTTGTGCTGCGGCAATGGCTGCCTCGTTATAGGCCTGACGAAGGCCTCCTTGGCTGCCGCCACCTCTGGAGTGTCCTGGACAGGCTTGGAGGTGAGGCAGTGACGGCTGGGGCTGCGGGGTGTCCTAGCGCCCCAGCCTGAGGGAGATTACTACCGGTGACACGGAAACCAAACTCATCTGCGACGTAATACTGTGTCTGGACATTCCCATCAGAGTCGATGTACTCGTATGAGCCTTGAACGTTGCCCTGGGCGTCGCGGGTCTCTGCACGCCCTATGTCACCTCCCGTGAACCCGAAGGTGTACTGACCGTACTCATCCAGCGCCTGGTACTGGGAATCGATGGGCACATGTGACAGGAGCGATGGTGGGGAAGGAGAGGGCCGCGGGGAACCCCAAGCTGGTCGCAGGATCGTGGTAGATGCCCTGCTGGACTCCAGGGAAGGTTGACTGCTGAGGCTGTGAGACAGGCTGCTGCACGCCCTGGTATGCTTCTTGATACTGCCCTGAAGGATAACCGGCGTACACTGCTGGGTAGCCTCCAAAGTAGGGGTCTTGGTAGGCCTGGTCTGGCAGCTGGGCACTCCCTAGGGCTGCCACGGTTGCCACCAGCACCACTGCCTGTTGGGTCAACCGTAGTGTTAGTATTCGTGAAAATGTGTCATAGCTGGCAGAATGAGTAAGAACTTTCGTTTGGCGAAATTTCCATAAGTTCGTCATCCTTAATAAAACCAGTTATTTATCCCTAAGCTGTCGAGCTAAGGCAATACAAGATGTTATCAATCAAAAGTCAAAACTGTTTTCCTGAACTGTGCAGTCATAAATTTTAAGCAACCAGATATTTCTTTTATTAGATAATGTAGTGATTGAAATGTATAAATTGTCTGTCAGTCAAATATAAACTAAACTCCCCCTGAAACTTCATTAGGATGTCACGGCTCATATGATCAGGAATCGAACTGTCAAAGGTTCGAACGGTAAATATTCCCCATAACTGAAGACGTGAAAAATTATTAATATTTATGTTATTTTTGGAGATTATATAGATACGTTCTTTCAGCTTTCAGTTACTATAGGGAATATTTATCTTAAGAATCTTTAAGAATCAGAGTCCAGGTCCTGACCTATCATGCCTTTCACAGTCTATCCAGTATACATGATAATTATTATTACCATCATCATGTGACAGACGTAAAGGTGTGGAGGAGAACTCACCAAACAGAACATAATGTCGTAGTAGAGAAGAGCCGTGTGACTAGAGGTCCTGCTTTCCTCCCGCCTTATATATGTACTGCATCATCACCGCCCAAGAGATAGCAAGGTCGTGCATGCAACTACACGCACACACTCAGACGCGCACCTCCCACCCCCCCGGGGCTCACTCAAAGCAACACCCATGGCATTTATTATTTTTTTCCTGGGTGAATTTCATCTTCAATTCCTATTCAATCTGCAATGTTAAATGTTCGTGGTCAATATACAATCATCAATCCTCCTTCAACTCATCATTTATCGATGGAATCCAACTACGGCGTTTTCAGTTCATGATATCGTCAAATTGAGTTGCTTAAAATTCACTCATATCAACTAGTCATTGTTTACGAGTTTCTTAAGGTGGCAACTAACTTAAAGGACTAAATATTAACTAGAAAAAATATAGCCAACTAAAACGTATATATATTATATTATGTTACATAAAATAAACCCATAACACCAAAAAAATTATGAGTGCTCTGAAAACAGTTCCAGGAAGAATAACTATGTCGAGGTTTTGTTGCTTTGTTTTCATTGTGTATGCAAGTCGAGGTTCTGTTAATACTTCCTGTTAGTGATTTATACGTTATGATCCCTTGTGAGTGAGTGTTGCTCTACCATGATCCTTACCTTCACACAATAGATAGTAGACAAGCAGGCAAACAGAGCTACGGGTAGACATTCTCTCTTCTCATTATCTTGGCAACATTCAGGGGTGTGTAGAGCTCCAGAGTTACACTCCCTCACCCCCACACCGTTGTACAGGAATGGGACAACTGGCCGCCTGCCATCTGGCCGCAGCCCAACTGGCCGCGAAACTCGCCGCAGGCCACTGCCGCCGCGGACTGGTGGTAAACTGCAAACGCCTAATTTTGCGCTCTCAAGGCAGCTCATAAACCCCCACCAGCGAACGATTGATTCGCGAATGATTAAAAACAAGTCAATTCTGAATTCAACATACAAAAAACAGTAAAACTATGTACTAAAAAATAAAAATAAAACTTAGATAATAGAACTGATTCTTATTCTGTATTTAGTCCTGAAGATGTAATATACGAAAGCGCTTGACACTTCGTATTTTCCTTTTCCTGGTGGTTAGGTTAGGTTAGGTTAGGTTAGAATTGCCCATAACTTTCATAGATTTTTGCAGTTGAATCTTGTTTTTTAATAAATAAAGACATTTCTTATTTTTTACCAACAATAATTTTACTAACAACATAACTTTTCATAGATTTTGCAGTTGAATCTTGTTTTTTTAATAAATAAAGACATTTTAGCATGCTTATTTTTACCAACAATAATTTTACTAACAACATAACTTTTCATAGATTTTTATATGTATCTTTTATTATTTTATTCCAATAAATACTTCATAAAATTTTAATCCTCTTTTTTTATCACACTTTCATCAATTTTGTCAACAAGTTCCATATGGCGGCCAGTCGGCCGCGGCGAGTTCCGCGGCCAGTTGGGCTGCAGCCAGATGGCGGCGGCCGTTGTCCTAGACCCCGTTGTACACCCTCCCGCGCCCACGTGGGGTCCATGGAACTTTATTGTGGCCAAGCCGTGTACTGTAATAGTAACTCACCAGGGACACACACACCCCTAACACACACACGGGTCTAGGACAACTGGCCGCCGCCATCTGGCCGCAGCCCAATTGGCCGCAGGAACTCCGCGGCCGATTGCCGCCATATGGAACTTTTGTTGACAACCCAACCTAACCTAACCTAACCTAACTAACCTAACCTAACCTAACCTAACCCTAACCTAACCTAACCTAACCTTTGAGAGCGCAAAAATAGGCGTTTGCAGTTTACCCCAGTCGCGGCGGCCAGTCGGCCCGGCAGTTTCCGCCGGCCAGTTGGGCTGCGGCCAGATGGCGGCAGATTGTCCCATTCCCACACACTAACACTCCACACACACACACACATAACACACACACACACACACACACGCACACACCTAACACACACACACACACACACACACGGGGGTCACCGGACTGTATGCAGATATTATGCAGATACTTGGATGCATAAATTCAGTGAGGTATCAAAATCCTGGACTGGATCCCACGTGATAGGAAAAGACCGATAACATGACCGACCACTGGACAGGGAGATTGAGCATTGGGTAACACTCGCCAACAAAAAGACAAAAAATATAACTAGCATTGAAACACCGGTAATGATAAAACAATTGTTTCTAAGATTTGTCCAAAGAACGACAACCATCTTCCCTCAGTAGCAGTTAACAGCGACATACAGTGAGGTGAACACGAACCTTTTCCTCCCCTTCAATATAAACACCAACTTTTCCTCCTCCAGTGTTCGTTCACCTGGCCCTCACTTATACTTATCTTGTGGCTGATTGTAGATGAAGTTGATCTACAATAATAACAAGAGTGACTCAGACATCATCAGTGAATTATTACACCATAGTAATAATATGTGTCAAAATCCAAAATGGTACGTACAGTATAATAGCTTCTGTTTGTCACATTTTGTATTTGCTTTGTGTAATATAGATATTTCCGACATGAAAAACTTAGTAACCATGAAATTAATTTACAAAAGCAAACTATACATAACATAATAATATACAGTAGTGATACGATGCTTTGAGGTTCCCATATCATCACCAGACGCTACATATACACCACGCTACAATATAACTGTCACCTCTGACCCGTAAGTTTAAACTCGATGTTCAAGAATTTCTTCTTTTATTTTGCGAAATATTTTGTTTGATATATTTCAAAACGAGAATAGTTTCCCAGAAGACTGTTTCTCTTGCTGTTTAATTTGGTGATTTTGCTGGTTAATTTATTTTTAAATTAAGGCGAGAGTTTCCTGGACACGAACGATCAACTTGTCCTGACTCCCGCCCGACTCGTGGTGACCATTGTTCACGAGACCTGCTTCTACACACACACAAACACACACACATACACGGTATTCATTCAAAATTCTTCATCTTCACCCCTACACTAATACGGTGGTCATGTCTATTTGTGTGGATCATAAGTTCGTCTGTAAAGAGTTATAAAGAAAAAACTGATGAGCCCAGGTGACCGGACGCTGGAGGAGGAAAAGCTGTTGTTTATTATGTATGTTAAAGAAGCTCACGTTCAGTTCACTATGTGTTGCTATTAACTCCTGCTGAAGGAAGATGGTCGTTCTACTACAGATTAATTGTGCAAAGAAGTTTTTCATCAGAACAGGTGTTGCAACTCTAGTTATATTTTTCGTTTTGTTGGTGAGCGTTTACCAAGAGGATAATGTTAAGGAGAGTAACAAAGATGGTGACACGTATAGTGAGGAGGCTGGTGAGCAGAGGAGAGGAGCACTTGTTTACCGTGGAGGATCAGGAAAGACAGGTGTGTCAGTAAATAGGTGTCGCTCCCTCTTCACCATCACTGGGGTGCCAGATGACAACACGCTTGTCGCTGCTCACCTGCTACAATATCCTACAGACAACAGCAGCTTGACGAGCAACAGGTGGACGCCGCTACACCCCGGAGGAACTCAACACCTGTCAGCGGCTGTCAAAGGGTGAGACACCTGCTGCAGAAGAGGTCGTCGTCGTCGGGATCTTCCACCGAGGACTACCAGTCTGGCGGCGCTGCTTCCTCTTAACCTTCAACACCACACTAACAAGAGTCAAGAGGATGACCACAGGAAGGAAGGTCAAACACCCATCCTCCGCCACACCAGTAGGATTGATGCCAACGGCGGAGTGCTGCCCTACGTGCCCTGTGCCATAGTGCCCTTTAACCACCCGCCCTCCGTCACCGCCTGCTTCGCTCACAGACTCAACAACAACAACTCCCTCTGGATCGCGTTTATGGGCGACTCAAAAATCAGGGCATTGTTTTATGAGTTTCTTCAGAGAACCGACAGTGAATGTCGGTTCCTGATCCACCTTCTGGTGAGTCACTGATTCTTCTGAATATTCTCACTGCCTGTTTCTATACAACTCTCTCTCTCTCTCTCTCTGACATATAAATATAAATATTAATAAAGACAAAGACTCATAGTTGTCATCTCTGGTGGCCGCAGAACACAACCACAGGCTACGAGGAGGTGAGGAGGACCACGTTTAAGCTACACACCGACATGGAGGCCGCCACACCTGTACACCCGCGCCTCCGTGTCTCCTTCAGGTCTGGCGGGAGTGTTTAATGATGTTGGGATGGTCCTCATGGTTACTGAGTCATGTTTCTTAAAGGTTATGTTTACACTGTGTATAAGCATTGTTTACATAAGTTTTCTTATGTGTTGGGTTTGTCCTACTTAACATCTTTTGTGATGTTTAATTATGTTGAAATTGTGTCACTGTTATGTTTTTTATTTAACTGCATGACCTCCACGACTAGCAGCTGTACTGTTAGTACTGCTTCTTCTGCTGTTCTCTATTGTCTGCTGTGAACCTCTTCCTGCAGCTGTTCTAAGAATAAGTCATTGATGATACTCCCAGTTGTACGAGTGGTAGCTGTTGCTGTTAACTGCTGTCACACTATTCCCTGCCTGACTGTCGCTGAGATTATGTCACCTGTTTCTGTTATTTCTCGAAGTTGATACTGTTATTATTTCTGCTGTATTAAGCGTTATTGTATTATCACCGTTGTTGGTGTTGGTGTCACAGCTACAGCCGTCAATAAAATTGGGTCACAGTTTCAGGATGTTCACGGGAAGCGCTTGCCGTCAGGTTCAGGATACCAGGAACTGAGACAACTAAGTCCGGTGGAGCCAGGGGGAGGACCCCCTCCCTCACATCCTTATAATGGGTAAAGACAACAACCGCCGACCTTACTTCCGCTGCAAGCAGTTAGTGAGCGAACCTTCGTCTACCGTAGACTTTAAAACCATGATATTATAAGGTAAACTCTTTTTGTAAGACCTGCAAGCAAGAGGCAGGCGAGCGCTCGTCTGGCGTAACTTCGGTTAACTGTGTGAATATGCAGGTGTGATAATATTGGCCAAGA